CACACACACGCACACACACACACACAATTGCATGTGTTCAAGTATTTTATGAAAAAAGGATATTTGTCCTGGTATTTCTTTCCACTTAGTTTCACTGCAGAAGAATAGCCTGGTTTTTGGTTGTCTACTGTCTTATGTGACTCACTGTTGTCCTTTTTAGGGTGGCGATGAAGAGGACATTTTACTCACTGCATATATCGTTGAAGCGCTCCTTGAAGCTGGGCTCAGTTCCACTGTATGAATTCCCATCTTCCAGTTTCAGCATCTGAATGCACATTAAATAGACTCTAGATTGAGTGGTTCAAAATTCTTGGAGGGAAACTGCCATATTCTTATTACCTAAATTTTGTTTCTCACATAGTAATAATAACATTACAAATGTATTTCAGTGATACTTTTGAAGAATATTACTTTTAAGTACATATGAATGAGTTTATATGCAAAATATTTTTTAAAGATTACACACATATTATATATCATAATATATAATAATTTATATATAATGAACAATGACTAGTTTAAATATCCAGCAAGCTTATACAATGTTGAGAATCATTTTAAAATATGTTTTTCCTCACTAGTTTCCTGTTCTGCGCAATGGGCTCTTTTGCCTAGAGGAGGCATTGGAAAGCGGTGTCTCTAATGGCTATACCCAGGCAATCCTAGCTTACGCTTTTGCATTAGCTGGAAAAGAAGAGAAAGTGGAAGCCTTATTCCAGATCCTGGATCAATCTGCTATAAAAACAAGTAAGTCATAACATTCAATTTTTCTCTAGGAGATGATCTTTACAACAACATGATGTAACTTAATACACAATCATTTCCTAACCCTGTCTTCATTAGAATGTTCCTACTCCTCTTAAGAAATTCAGCTGTTTCCCTTTTTCTTTAAAGAATACTGTGTGTTTTAGATTCCCCTCTTTCTCTTTTCTGTTAGATTCCTCTCAAATGAGTGTAGTAATGTAAACCAGGCACAGCAACCATGTTATATACAGTATCTTCTTCTGTTTTATTGTTTTATTTGGGTTTTGGTTTAGTTTTAGCAGGTCTTGAGAGGAAACCCAGGGCCCCATGCATGCTTGGCTAGTAATGTACCACTCAAATACATCAATAATCCATACTTATGAAACTTAAGCACATACCACTTTTGCCCTTACATAGTTGCTCTTTGGAGTTATATTATTTTTCTAGAGCTATTAAACAAAAGACCACAGTGACTTAAACAGCATAAAATTATTTACTCACAGTTCTGAAGAGCAGAAGTCTAAGATGAAAAAGTCAATAGGTATAATTTTTTTTTTTACTTTAAATGGGCATCTCCTCCCTGTCTTCACCTGTTTTTTCCTTTGAGTATAAGAATTCTTGGAGTTCCTTCTATGTCTCCAAATTTCTTATAAGAACATCAGATTAAATTTAATCCCACCCTAATGAACTCATTTGAACTTTATCTCTTCAAAGATCTCATATTCAATCACATTCTGAGGTCCCAGGAGTTAAGACTTCAGTAGACGAATTTTAATGAGGCATAACTCAACTCATAACAGAGGCCAAAAATGGAATTTTCCCCCCTCCTTATCTATAAGTTCATAGTAACTTGTTTTTCAGACTATGTGAAAATTCATCCTTTTTCTCAGATAATGTGATATATTGGGAAAGAGAAAAGAAACCCAACACAGAAGAATCCCCATCCTATACTCCTTGGGCACTTTCTGGGGACAATGAGAAGACTTGCTATGTGCTGTTGGCTGTCATTTCCTGGAAAACTCAGGACCTCAGCTATGCTAGTAAGATTGTGCAGTGGCTGGCTCAACAGATGAACTCCCATGGTGGCTTCTCTTCCAGCCAGGTGATTGATGTGGGTCTGCTATTTATAACAAAAATGCAGAAGGTGATATGCCATAAGAATCTAGATAGCAAAGATATTCACCAAAATTTACCTTCTAAGATGAAGAACATTAGATAATATATAAATCATCTTAGTCAACAATTATTTATGGGACAGTTATTGTACATCAGATACTCTATTAGGAAGTCTGTATAAACAAATGAATAAAATGAGGCTCCATATGTAGGAATTTACACTAGTTTACAGCTTCAATTTAAGCAGTAAAAGTAGAATGCACGTCTAGAAATAATTTCTACTACAAGCATCAGAATCTCAGTACATTAGATATCTGATGACCCTGTAGTCAAAGTATATACCTATGAAGAAAAATGATTTCTTTCTAATTCTGTGCTCTAAACATTGAAAAAAGTAAATGATAAGAGTGGAAAACAGGAGAAATCCATAACCATAAAAATAATGATTTCTTTCTTTCCCTAGCGGAAAAAAAATGAAACTTCAAGGAAATATGATTTATTTATACACGAAAAATGTTCATTTCCCTCCTATTTTAGTTTCAGTGTGTCATTAAAACCTTAGGCAGAGATTATATATAAATAAAATTATATCTATTATATTAAATATCATTTAAAACCTTTTAGAAAACTAAAATCAAATTAAGTTTTCTTGAAGACTGTCAAATGGCAATTACTTATACAAGTAAATATATTTTTGTATTGTTCAGGATATTGCTTCTTGATGTTCTGTTGACTGTTTTAGGGATATTTATATGAATTGATTGAAGATTCACAAATGATGACTAATATTGCCTCATAACAGAACTTGGGTCATTGCTTGTACTATTTCTGTGCAGGACACCATAGTCTGCCTTCTTGCCATAACTCGCTACATGAAATTAACCTTCTCTAGTGATCAAAACACCGTCACCTTTAGAAGTGAACAGTCCAATGAGATTTTCCAGATCAACAATGATAACCGCCTCCTGGTTCAACGTTTAGAACTATCAAAAGCACGTGGACAATACACAGTAGATGTGGAAGGACATGGCTGCACATTTATCCAGGTAATAGAAATCAACCTAAGAAGACATAGAAAAATGTTTACCAATTAACTGGTATCAGACCAATTGTTCAATTGTATATGAAGAGTTATTTTGCCATTTTGTATTGTTCTGTGATATCTCTATTCTTGCTCTCATACATGTTTTCTAATTAATAGCAGAAAATACAAGTTATTTTACAAAGAATTACTCACTTTTTATGAGTTCATTTTAGCTATATATACCATTAGGGTTCATTTTGACATGATAATAAAACCGAGGAATATAATTTGCTCTAATTAAGTTTCTAGTACTCAATACATTGTAATGGTTCCAATTTTCAGTCTTCCAATGATATAAACCCAACTCCAATTTCCAATCATGCATAAGATGCTGTGACATATTAATAAAAAATATATAACAGTTTGTCTACATGTCAGTAAGTTCTCTGGGAGGCATACTGTGGAAAAAATATTCAGAATTATAGGACGTTTATCTTTATTTAACTAAATTATTAATTATTAATCTTTATTTTAACTAAAATATATCAGCAGTCTCTACATGAGTCTAGAGACTCACCCAGGTTCATAAACAGTGGTGTCATCTAGCCTTCTAGTTTTGTTAGTCTTTTGGCTATGAGAAGCAAATATATTGTAATTTAAATTTGCCTTTATTTGATTATTTATGGTTATGAATATTTCTTTTTTATTTTGTTGGTTCTTTTTAGTGTACTCACTGTTAAGTCTAGCTGGCTAGCAAAAGTTTCTTGAGGAATATTGTCATTAGAAAGTATTCTATCTTCAATAAATTTTGTTGTTAAAAATTTTATGTCTGGGGGCTGTGGCTGTAGCTCACTGGTAGAGCATTTGCTTAGCATGTGTGAGGCACTGGGTTAGATCCTTAGAACCACATAAAAATAAATAAATAAAATAAAAGATCCATCTACAACTACAAAATATTTTTTAAAATTCTATGTCTGATGAAAACTAAACCTGATTCCTTGATGATAAGTGTATAAAATGCATTAATAATAGGCTTAGAGAACAGTTCTTTCCATTCTTAATACAGGATGAATTTTCTCATGATATGTCATCCTTTCTAGGCAACCCTCAAGTATAATGTGCCACTCCCTAAGGAAGCTTCTGGATTTTCCCTTTCCTTGGACATAGTAAAGAATAACTCCTCAGATATATTCCAGGCTAATTTTGATCTTACAGTGACCTTCAAGTAAGTGTTGCATTTTGATGTTAGCTCCCAGGTTGGAGAGAAATATATACAAAATAATTAAACAGAAGAGAAATAACAAAATGTAAATGATGCTACCTGTGATAAGTTCACCTGGTGGTGGTGGTGATAGTTCTGCAGCACACTCACTTGCCAGCTTTGTGTATAGACACCACCATTTAGTACATCTTTACCTAAATCAGAGCTAAGATTATGCAAGTACAGTTTGTACTCTGTGCAAATATAAATGGAATATTTCACCATGCTGATATTAACAGCAATGCTTTTATTTATTTGGTGTGTGTGTGTGTGTGTGTGTGTGTGTGTGTATGTAATTACTTTTAGTTTGGTACAATGGATACAGTGTATTTTCTTCTCAAGACAGGTATAGGTGGCCCTACAGTGGAAATTCCACAAATTTTATTTTATACCTAGAAGAGCTAAATATTAGATTTCTACTTTTTAGAATGGAAAAAAGTCATCTTGAATTCAAATATGATTTATAGACACTAGAGAGTTTTATCATAAGTTAATGTCAAGAAAATTTACTTGGGGAGAGTGCACCTAGGATTTCTAAATGAAAAATCTCTTGAACACCACAATCATGGACTAAATACATTGTGGAACTCTTAACTTTATGTCACATTAATGCTTTACAGAGGCAGAAACAGATCTAGAAAATGTGAGGGCATATGTGTACCAGAATACTGTCCTTTAAACTAAGATCTCTTCTACATGTTGTGCTGATCTAAGGTTAGCATGAGTATATGTAATATAAGTGTATAAGCTTTACTTATAAGTTTTGACATTGAGATCTCAGGTGAACTTAAGAGCAGTATTTGGGGAGAGTTTAGATCTAGATACTTTTTTTTTTGTTCTAGCTTATGTTGGTTTGTATCATTTCATCTATTATTACTCTGGTTGTACCAATTTTCAGATGTTTGAGGATAAATTTTCTAAGGTCTTTCTTCTTTAGCTTTTGCCTTTCCTCCAGACTTTTAGCCTATCAGTATTTATCTATCTTCCCCCTTTACTATGAATTAAGTCACATTTCTAAACTGATGTCTAAACTAATGTTGTCCTTGTTTTTAAATTTAAGATATACCGGAATTCACAATAACTCCATTATGGTCCTTGTGGATGTAAAGATGCTATCAGGATTTACTCCCATCCTGACATCTATTCAAGAGGTAAACAGTTGAAATACAATCTTTTGGTACAGAGAAAATGATCCTTGTAAATAGATGAAATAAACCATTGGTTAGCAAACAAATCCATGTAATTTTTAACTTAAACATCCTCTTTAGAGTCTACATTTGTATTTTTGCTGTAACATAACTAGAGGGATGATGTTTTCAATTTGGAGCAATTCACAGTCATTTCCCCTCCATGGCTCATAGTATATTTGTTTGGTTCCTATGTGTGCTTATATAAAGACCTCATAAATAATAACCTGACAAAATAATAACATGAACATACAATTTGGGAATGCTTCCCTCTGAGTTCTAATATCTAACTCATCTTCCCTGCCACTTTCTTCTAAGCTTGAGAACAATGTCCAAGTAATGAAGACTGAAATAAAACATGACCATGTTCTTTTCTACATGGAAAATGTAAGTTCACAATAATTTTTTTGTTTCATGTCTTTTTTTTGTTGTGTCTTCTGAAAGATTATTGGGTGTTTCTTTTTTTGTATAGACATAGATTAAAGAGTTTACAAAAAATATGAGATATTAAATATCCTGTCCTACTGATCCTCTTCTCCCTGTTAACTGTAAAGTTGTTTCATTCAAGCCTTGGTTACCTGAATAGGTAGTTCTCAAGTTTAGAATCTTCACCTCCCCATTTTTCATTCCCAACAACATCTCACACAGTCTGGTTACTGAGTAGAAATATATTTTACTCAGATTTTTCACCACAGTAACTAAAAAATCTGGCTAGAACAATTTTAAAGGAGGAAAAGTTTATTTGGAGGTTCACTGTTTCAGAGGTCTAAGTCCTTGGAGAGCTGACTCCATCCCTCAGGGCTCAAGGTGAGGCAGAACATCATGGTGGAAAAATGTGGCAGGTGGAAGCAGTTTACATGGTAATCTGAAAGCCATGTCACAATTCCCACTTCCTCCACCCACACCCTACCATGTCAGTTACCAATCAGTTAATCTCTATTGGGGGATTAATTCATTGATTGGGTTAAGAATCTTATAACCCAATAATTTCTCCTCTGAACCTTCCTGCATTGTCTCACACCTGAGCTTTTGGGAGATACTCCACATCCAAAACATAACAAGATATAGTTATTTCATCATTTGACTTCAATTCCAATGAAAGTGGAGATAATTTTTTTAATTCATTGAAATTGTATATGTTTAAGGTGTACAGTGTGATGTTTCATATGTATTTGCTTAGTGAACTGAATGTTATGATCAAATTAATTAACACAATATCTCTTTATATAATTACCTTTTT